CGGTTTCTTCCCCCAGCCAGCTCGTGGGGGGCTTCGGGGGAGCTTCGCACCCCCCACCCCCTCCCCCCCGAAGAGATGGCAGATCCTCCACGTTTCTCGCAGAGCTGGGGGTGACCCGGCCTTAGGGTGCCAGCGCCCCCACCGTGGGACTGGCAGCGAGCTGGGCCCCATGTGCTCCGCGTTGGGTTGGGAACTGCAGCCGGTTCCCCCCGGGGCAGGGCTTGAGGCACAGGGACACCCGGGGAGGGGAGTTTACAGCTACCCCGGGGATCCGGTGATTCAATGGTGGAGGCCTTCAGGTCTGGGTACAGAGAATCCGAGTGGCCAGGCAGAGGGTCCGGCCCTGAGGGGCAGCAGGAGGGGGGTGTGGAGGTGGGCTTGGGTTCAGGGGCTCCAAATGCGGCTCCTTTCACGTGGCTCCGGGCAGCTCCGCATCTGGGTATTGCAGAGCGGGTACCGACTTGCTGGTGTGATTAAGGAGAAGTAACGAGGGACTGACAGGCTGTCAGGGCTGAGCTGGATCCACCCAGAACCTTCTCCAGATGCACCATCTGCATAATTGGCTCTTGCGCGAGCGTCGGTGAAACCCCAGTCATATACATTAATGTAAACCAGCCCTCGTCATTCATCTTCTCTGTAGTTTGCTCCAATTTATTTCATCAGCATTTCCCGAGCTTTAGTACCAAACCTGCTTCCCTATTTAGATTTTCTTTAAGCACTTTATTTTGTGTCCGTTTGCACAGCATTAGTAGCTAGGGCTGAAGCTTTCGCATATTTTTTGTGAAGGCAAAGAACTGTGGTGGGTTATAACCCTGGCTGCCATATTTAAATGCCCCGTAACTTGGGATTTCCTGCTCTGTATTTTGATGTATGGTTTTAAATGTTTGTTTCAAACCTTTTGCTTCTTGGGAAAAGGGGGATCTTTGCCCACCCCCTCAAGTCAGTAGGAGTTATTATATTATGGAGTGGACTTTTGCACTTGCTGTTTAATATAAAATGGGGATTTTAACCAGCCATTAATAAATTTTGCTATGGGATTATTTCTGATGATTTTGTTCTTTTTCTGAATACCTTGATTCAGAAAGAATAAGTGACCCCTTCAATATGCTTCTGTTCTCTTTGATTTTAAATTTCTTGATTTTTCTGTTGAAAGCCAGAGACAAATGTATTTGAAGGCCTGCCTACCTTAGTGGTCTTTACTGCAGGTGAAATCTGCCGGTGATTATATTTTAAAAGTGCTTCGCAGAGGAGGATAAGAATCATTATCCCTATTTTACAGATGGGGAAACTGAGGCACAGAGCTGATGTGAGTTGCGCAGCATGATGCGGTAGGTCGGTGGCAGATGTGGGACCGGCAGTCCGCTTGTCTGCCCTGCGGTTTGACCTCCCTGGGAAGAGCAGAGCCCCATCCCTGCCCTGTGCTGAGCTCCCCACCGTCCCTCTGGCTGCTGAGCTGGTGGCACTGCTGCTCACGCTCCAAGGGGCTTTACTTCTCTGTGTGCAGAGAATGAGATCCATTCACTCTTCAATTTGCTTCTTTTTATGCATTTAGCGTAAGGTAATTTCTCTTGAGTTGCTTTCCCCATCCCCATTACTGCTTTTTACGTGCAGTAATAAGGCTTTTGTGTTCTTCAGTTCTGAGCCCAGTGTAAAACTCTTGAGCCCAGCTAGACCAGAAGGCTGCCTGGCATTGGTTAAGCTTGTAGCACAGAATTATTTTGGTATATTTAGGTTTTCTTGGGTTTACGTAGTGCATCAGGGCTACTGTTGTTCCATCTAGAGTGATGTCATTTGCTGAGCAGTGAGGTAATGTCTCCTGGGCTAGAGCGCTCCGTGGCAGATCTCGTTCCCAGAGGGTGTCAGTATGGCCATGTGGGATGGTTGGGAACAGACAAACAGAAAACACACGTCTTTGGGTGCAGCAAAGCTTTTTGTTGTGCTTGTGGTTTGAGAGCCCGTGAGCTTCCACAGCCGAGTTCAGAATCTCTGCGCTTCACTATTTTGCCTGAGAAAACATCTTGGGACTCTCTGTAAGGCTTCGCAGTGGGGGTTTTTGAGATAATTTATTCCACAGCTCAGCTTTTACTGACCTAAAGTGTGTGAGAGTTTGTCTCTGCTGAGCCAGGAGGACTGCTCAGAAAACATTGAATTTCTAAAGCTCTCAGCCCGCAGAGGCTGCCTGCACTGGTGCTCCCTGTCCCTCCGAGTCCCACAGCGTAGCGTGGCTGTGGCACAGCAGTACAGCATGGACAGATCTCTCCCATGCATCCTGCACAGTCCCAAGGAGGAGGGACAATCCCCTTGGCCCTCCCCGCCACCCTAAGCTGTCCGTTGTCCTCAGCAGGTGAAGCGGGGAGGGTAGGAGCGAGCGCGAGGATTTCCTGCTCCTTCCCTCGGACTTCAAAGACTCCTGCAGTAGCAGAGAGCTCCCTTGCCTGAGCTGTTTGCTTTTTGCCAATCTCTCCCACCGAGTGGCCACGCAGAGGGTCCGGCCCTGAGGGGCAGCAGGAGGGGGGTGTGGAGGTGGGCTTGGGTTCAGGGGCTCCAAATGCGGCTCCTTTCACGTGGCTCCGGGCAGCTCCGCATCTGGGTATTGCAGAGCGGGTACCGACTTGCTGGTGTGATTAAGGAGAAGTAACGAGGGACTGACAGGCTGTCAGGGCTGAGCTGGATCCACCCAGAACCTTCTCCAGATGCACCATCTGCATAATTGGCTCTTGCGCGAGCGTCGGTGAAACCCCAGTCATATACATTAATGTAAACCAGCCCTCGTCATTCATCTTCTCTGTAGTTTGCTCCAATTTATTTCATCAGCATTTCCCGAGCTTTAGTACCAAACCTGCTTCCCTATTTAGATTTTCTTTAAGCACTTTATTTTGTGTCCGTTTGCACAGCATTAGTAGCTAGGGCTGAAGCTTTCGCATATTTTTTGTGAAGGCAAAGAACTGTGGTGGGTTATAACCCTGGCTGCCATATTTAAATGCCCCGTAACTTGGGATTTCCTGCTCTGTATTTTGATGTATGGTTTTAAATGTTTGTTTCAAACCTTTTGCTTCTTGGGAAAAGGGGGATCTTTGCCCACCCCCTCAAGTCAGTAGGAGTTATTATATTATGGAGTGGACTTTTGCACTTGCTGTTTAATATAAAATGGGGATTTTAACCAGCCATTAATAAATTTTGCTATGGGATTATTTCTGATGATTTTGTTCTTTTTCTGAATACCTTGATTCAGAAAGAATAAGTGACCCCTTCAATATGCTTCTGTTCTCTTTGATTTTAAATTTCTTGATTTTTCTGTTGAAAGCCAGAGACAAATGTATTTGAAGGCCTGCCTACCTTAGTGGTCTTTACTGCAGGTGAAATCTGCCGGTGATTATATTTTAAAAGTGCTTCGCAGAGGAGGATAAGAATCATTATCCCTATTTTACAGATGGGGAAACTGAGGCACAGAGCTGATGTGAGTTGCGCAGCATGATGCGGTAGGTCGGTGGCAGATGTGGGACCGGCAGTCCGCTTGTCTGCCCTGCGGTTTGACCTCCCTGGGAAGAGCAGAGCCCCATCCCTGCCCTGTGCTGAGCTCCCCACCGTCCCTCTGGCTGCTGAGCTGGTGGCACTGCTGCTCACGCTCCAAGGGGCTTTACTTCTCTGTGTGCAGAGAATGAGATCCATTCACTCTTCAATTTGCTTCTTTTTATGCATTTAGCGTAAGGTAATTTCTCTTGAGTTGCTTTCCCCATCCCCATTACTGCTTTTTACGTGCAGTAATAAGGCTTTTGTGTTCTTCAGTTCTGAGCCCAGTGTAAAACTCTTGAGCCCAGCTAGACCAGAAGGCTGCCTGGCATTGGTTAAGCTTGTAGCACAGAATTATTTTGGTATATTTAGGTTTTCTTGGGTTTACGTAGTGCATCAGGGCTACTGTTGTTCCATCTAGAGTGATGTCATTTGCTGAGCAGTGAGGTAATGTCTCCTGGGCTAGAGCGCTCCGTGGCAGATCTCGTTCCCAGAGGGTGTCAGTATGGCCATGTGGGATGGTTGGGAACAGACAAACAGAAAACACACGTCTTTGGGTGCAGCAAAGCTTTTTGTTGTGCTTGTGGTTTGAGAGCCCGTGAGCTTCCACAGCCGAGTTCAGAATCTCTGCGCTTCACTATTTTGCCTGAGAAAACATCTTGGGACTCTCTGTAAGGCTTCGCAGTGGGGGTTTTTGAGATAATTTATTCCACAGCTCAGCTTTTACTGACCTAAAGTGTGTGAGAGTTTGTCTCTGCTGAGCCAGGAGGACTGCTCAGAAAACATTGAATTTCTAAAGCTCTCAGCCCGCAGAGGCTGCCTGCACTGGTGCTCCCTGTCCCTCCGAGTCCCACAGCGTAGCGTGGCTGTGGCACAGCAGTACAGCATGGACAGATCTCTCCCATGCATCCTGCACAGTCCCAAGGAGGAGGGACAATCCCCTTGGCCCTCCCCGCCACCCTAAGCTGTCCGTTGTCCTCAGCAGGTGAAGCGGGGAGGGTAAGAGTGAGCGCGAGGATTTCCTGCTCCTTCCCTCGGACTTCAAAGACTCCTGCAGTAGCAGAGAGCTCCCTTGCCTGAGCTGTTTGCTTTTTGCCAATCTCTCCCACTGGTTCTACCTTGAGCTCCCTAGCTCAAGGCTAGAGGCTGACTCTATTCTGCTTGCTGTCCAGCAGGTCTTTGAGCTGTGAGAATATAAACAAAGAAGTCGCTTGCAGGAAGCATCAGTGGCTTCAGCAATTCATTAGTCAACAGAATTTTGAACTTGGGAGCAAATCTTAGCCTGGCAGTCCAGCCTGCTAAGCTGACTCTCTCCCCTTCCTGGTTCCTAGAGCTTGTTTTTATTTTTCCTTATAAAGCAGTAAAACACGGACACTCCTTTTAGCAGTTCTTCAGCTCTCATTATAATTCCCAAAGCTTTTGTCCAATTAGCTTCCTAAGTTAATTGGCACAGCCTTAGTGTAGTGTAGGGGAGGGGTTAAGGAGGCAAACTTGTCGGAGAGTCGGTTGTAACTGTGGCTGCTGCACAGGAACGTGCTGTGATTCCTCCTGTGCAGGACCCGCAGAGATCGGCTGTGGAACTGAGCACCCCTTCCCAGCCCGGGAAGCAAATCGGAGAGGCCACAAGCATCGGCTTGGGTGGGCAAGGAAGGGCAGTGTCACCGAGAGCTGAGGGGCCACTTGGGAGCTCGTTGCCTGATAAATGGTGTCACGGCTCTGTGGTGTTTGAGGGACAGGGTTGTACCCCCTTTGGGCAGCACTTCCCTGGCTCCCTCTCTGTAGGAGAAAACTGTGCTTCGCTTGGAAAACACTGTACAGCTCAAAGGCTGCTCTCAGTTCTGGTGTCTCCAAAACCAGCTCAAGGGGAAAGAACAAACTGATTCTCTGAGTATCTTTCTATGGATCAATAATCCCAATTCTCTGTGTAACTTACCCAAAATTCTTAAAGTGTTTCGCTGAGACTGGCAAGTTCAATGTGCCCTTTTTTCATTGTTTAGATTCTATCAGAGGAGCTATTTTGGTTTGTCCTATCTGCACTGAAAATCCAGAGAGAGTGCTGCAGGAGGAGTAGCCCTTTCTGGAAGCTTATTGCTAAACCATTTCTTAATTTTATTTTTTTGTACAGGTAGAAAAGGAGGCCACAAAGGCCGAGCAAGGCAGTACACGAGTCCTGAAGAGATTGATGCCCAGCTCCAAGCAGAAAAGCAAAAGGCAAGGGTATGTGTTTGCCTACATTATGTGCTTGCTGTCATAAGTTCTGGCTTGTACAGCATGCTTGAACTTGCAGTTCATCAGAAGCGGCAGCTTACTTGAGTGTTGCAGGTCATTCTGCCAGTGATCACAACAGGAATTCTGAATATCTCTGGTTGGGGAGACTGCAAGGTGTGATCCAGCCTGGTTCCTCACAGAAGTGAGGCCGGGTAGACCATCTGGTTCACAATCTGAAGGTTAAAGGATAGGGAAGATGATTACACAGCAGCTCTAGACATCTTTTCCCCCTGTATTTCATTATTCTAGTCTTCAGTGTCAGCTAATTTTTTTTTTTTAATCTGTGCTCTGTAGCGTGCTGTGGAGGAAAAGGGCTCATATCTTGCCATCTTATTGTATGTTCCAATTACTACATTTGCCCTCTTTCTCTTCAAGATTTAGAAGACCAAATTCCTTTGACTTCTTCCTGTACACATGATTTTCTTGTTTGTCTCTGACTCGTAGGGAGAAATAACAGAGTTTTCTGGCGTGAGCCCTTTTTTGGGCATTTTTCTATGCCCCAGCATAGGATTGTAACAGCTCCCGTTGCTTCCACAACTACCTGGCTGGTATTATAAAAGGCACGGCTACTTTTTGCAGTGCATACTCTGTTGTGTTCCCAAATTATCACAGCTCCTATGGCACACTCACTGCTATTTTTCTGTGACTTTCTGAAAATGCTGCCTAAGCCCAAATACACTCTGCCAGCTGAAGCCTCACAGCGCTGACTACAGTAGGGTAATTATACCCCATATGGGAAATACTGATGAATACCTCCCAGAAGAAGATTACTCTTTCAAGCAGTCATGAGCCATATTGTTGACTCCTCGTTAATGTTTTGACCAGCTGTAACTCTGGATGATTGTGTGGTTTGCTGCTTAGCCACATATCCTGACTTTGTTTTGGATTTCTTCTTCCAAAGTATAATTCCTCTTGGTTTGTTTTCTGATTCCACCTTCTTGGTTTCCTGCCATCTTTCCAAATTCTGAAACTGCTTATGGCTTCTGATCCTGTTTTCCGAAATGATTCCAACTCCTACCAGTGTGATGTCATTTAGAAACTTTATAAGCATTCTCTACTTCCGAGTTGTTAATAAAAATACCAACTGGAAATGGAACAGAGCAAGTAGGACCCCACTTCAAATGTCTGTCTTGTTTCAAAACAAATCAGAGAACTGCTCTTGGATTGCACAAAGTGATGGTTACCTCCAGTGCTATTTCATTAGGGGAAGCTTAAAAAAAACCCAGTTAACAAAATTACTCCTCTGACTGCCCATAGCTCATCCGCTTTGCCCGTTGCTCTGATAAGGGATATTTGGCAATGGTGAAGCAAGGTATTCACACCCATGTTGGTACTTCTAATCTTATCTTATAATGATTTACAAATTAATTCCTAGACCTCTGACTGGTAAAAGCCGTGCTAAAAAGGCTGTAATTTCTTGGATAATAACGTTCTGGTCAGTGGTTGTCAATTTGCTTTTCTCTGGGTTTGTTTGGGGTTTTTTTAATATAGATCTAGGATGGGATCCAGCTCTACACCCATGTAGTTTCCAGTCCCTGAGATATTGTGCAGTGAAAACCCAGGCCAAAATGTCTCCTGGAGATCTTTTCATTTGGGGAAAGTGCCAGTTCTGCCTTTGACAATAATTTTCCTGGCCTGTTACATAGAGAGAACAGCAGAGTTGCTTAGAGGTGATCTGCCAGGGCAGGTGATGTACACTTACGTGTCTAGAATGAGCTTTTGTTTTGTAACAGCCAGGCACCTTTGGTGTCGTAAGGGCCATATCAGGAGCACCAGTGCTCTCAGAAGTCTTATCCCCCAAAATGATCTCATCTAAGAGTCACTGTTGGATTTGGGATTTTTATTGACGTAGGTTTTCTCTAATTTCCTGTGATTTTGTAGGAAGAAGAGGAGCAAGAAGAAGGAGGCGAAGGAGCAACAGGGGACCCCAAAAAGGAGAAGAAGTCTTTAGATTCAGATGAGAGTGAAGAAGATGACGAGGATTATCAGGTACTGTAATTCTCAGGGCACTTAATGCATTTGTACTACCCAGATTCTTGGGGCAGGAGAGACATGCACACACTTGACTTCAAGTTCTCTTTGAGAGCTACCTCTAATACATTTTTTATGTAAGGGCTATTTTTAGAAGCCAAAAAAAACCCTTACGTGATCGCATGTTGTCCTCAGAATGAAAACTTTTATATTTTTATAAGGGAAATACAAAGGCCAGAGATTTCAAAAAAGGCTGAAGATGACTGATAGTATAAATCTTGGTTCATAAATTGTTTTGCTGACGGGTAGTGAGAACATCTTGAATTCTGCTGTTGGGGTGTGTTGCAGTGTATTTGATGAGCTGTGATTCAAGACGACGTTGGGTGTGAGAGAGCTTCTTAACCTTCCTCTTGTTCTTCAACCTTAGCAAAAGCGCAAAGGAGTGGAAGGGTTGATAGACATAGAGAATCCCAACCGTGTAATTCAGACAACCAAAAAAGTAACTCAGCTGGACCTGGATGGACCTAAGGAACTCTCGCGACGAGAGCGGTGAGTCTTTCCTGCTGCCTCGGCAGGAGCTAGCACGTTCCTGGAATTTCATCCTTGCCGGTGGCAGCGGCGTAACGCAGGGAGATGTTTCCCTGCTGCATATGCGTTGGTGTTTCAGGGAAGCCCTTTAAGCATGTTGCTCTCTAAAGAGGACACTGAACAGCAGCAAACTGTCAGACGAGACTCACTGTGGTTCAAAATGTCTTTCCTTACAGACTTTACAGAACTTTTGTCCTCTGGGAGTAGCTATGGCCATCCTGGAGCCAGACAGCTTGGCCAGGTGCATTGAGAGAGTCCCGTTTGTTGCTGTGAAGTGGATGCGGACCGTTCCTTTCCTGAAGTTTTATGCCAAAAATCAGACCTAGCTGAAACCCATTAACCAGAGGTCACCTTGGGGTCCGCTTTAATCTTGCTACCAAAGGTGTCTGAGTGACAGGTAGCAGTTTCCCAGATTCCAGAGGTCATGGTGAATTTTTTGTCTGAGCAGACAAATAAGATGAGAACCAAAGTTTAATCTTCTAGTTTCATTTAGCAATGGAGAGTTGCAGAGTGAAAGATTTAAGCTTGCTTATTTGGGATAGATTGCTTCGGCAGAAGTACGCCTTTGAGGGTAAGGCTGGGAGAAACATGTCATGGTGCTGGGCAGTCTGGGGCTAATTCATTTGACCTCGCTGTGTGTCAGGGTCCTTATTTAGCTGAAGGAATGAGAAATAAGCCCTCTCCTCATCCCTGTTCGAACCCTGCAATAGATGTAACCTGTGCTTGAAAACTGGTGACAGGGCCCCCCAGTTTCTCGGGGAAATCCATGTCTGTCCTTGCCATCCTTCCCAGCCAGAAAGCCTCCCCCTCTCTGCCGGTACCTGCATGCTCACTTGGATGCTCTGATGACTGGTGTGTTTCACTCAACAGAGAGGAAATAGAGAAACAAAAGGCAAAAGAAAGATACATGAAAATGCACCTAGCTGGCAAAACAGAACAAGCGAAGGCAGATCTCGCCCGACTAGCCATCATTCGGAAGCAAAGGGAAGAAGCTGCCAGAAAGAAAGAAGAAGAAAGAAAAGGTTAGAGAGTAATTAATCATGCCCTCGTACTTCCCTTTGCAATGGCTGTACTGCCAAGAGGCACGATTTCTCATGTCACACACAGTCATCCCTTGTCTCCGTAGAACTGCGTGGTGTTGCTGAGTGTCATTACAACTTCTCTCATCAAAACCAGGCTCAGCTGTTTCCTTTTTCTAAACCTCTTGCTTTATAAAGCTCTAGGACATCTGAACAGGGAAAGATTTTTTTTTCGATATCCATCTTGCCCTCAGCCTCCTGAGTGATGCTTGCTCCAGTTTGGGGGTTTAGCCCGTTCCTTGTGCTGGGTGTCATTTATCTGCTCTGCATGCTGGGGATCCAAACTGCCCAGGGAATTTGCAGTGCACGCCCCTGCCTGGACTTGTCCTCTTCAGCTCTGATAAGTGTGAACCAGGAGCCTGATGAACATGTGTTCATAGTGGCTTCCACAAAGAAATTTGTGCATCAGCATCAGGGTAATTTGTGGACGCCTGGAGAGAGGCCAAGGACGGAAGGGACCATGCAAGGGGAGCGGCTCCTCTTAGCTCTGCAGGGGATCTACCCGGGGTGGGTGGGGAGGGTCGGATTTTCTCCTGTTACATCGCTGTGCATGGCTAGCAGGATTTCGGTCTCTGGGGCTGTCAAGCCACCACCAGTCCCCGATGCGCTCTGTGAAGTGATGAAACCTCTGTTCTTTTCCTCCCCCCCAGCAAAAGACGAAGCGGCCATGGCAGGTAAAAGACTGCAGTCACTCTCCCTTAACAAGTAAGCACAGGACACGCAAGAGGAGGAAACGCCAGGGAACTGTGCCTGGTGCCCGCCAGGAGCTCTGTCGTGTTGCATACCACCGATGCCACGTAGGGTGTACTGCGGCATCGACGTCACCTTCACCTCCAAGAGACACTGACGATGTGTTTGTCTTCATCCTGGCACAGATTTCCATTTGGGGTTAGGGGCAGCTGCCACCTTCGGCGCAGAACTGTGCTGAACAGCAATTCTCTGTAACAGTTTGGAAACCTGAATGTTTTTTGCTGGTTTTAGGATTAAGAACTCATAGACAGGGGACGGGGCGGGAGGGAGCTGTGCGGGAGGGGAGATGCTTCAAATATTAGATTGCAAGAAAATAGATTGTGGGGTCATTGTGGGGTGGGGCATGGGGTGGGGAACTTTGACTTGCTAGTGAAAGCCCAAAGGCTAATGTGGCCGAGGAGTCCCTCTGGGCAAACGGCCCGTAAAATTTTGCTGCAGGGTGTTGCAGTATGATCTGGGAGCCTGACTTCATGGACATCTGGAGTGCCGTTCCTTCCCGGTTTCATCCCTCCTTTCTTGCAGCTGGTCTCCCCTTTTCCCTCCTCTTCATTTATTTTTTTTTTTTTTTTCCTTCTCCTTATTAGGGATAGTGCCAGTTTTTAACCACATCATCCTTTGCTTAAAGGAATAAAAACAAACGACATTAATTGTATCAGACCCAGATGGAAATAAAACTCGATGAAGTTTAAAAAACAATAACAGAACTTGTATATTTGGCTGATTAAAATGTAAATTATCATAACTGCTCTGTCCTTGTCTCGTGTGTATAGGCCGCTGCCGAGGCACAAGGTGCAGTTGCGGTCTGGGGGTGCGGCGACTTCTGCATCTGCTGCTTTGCCGATTCTCGGTGTTGTTCGTGGTGTGGAATTTGGCTCGAGGTTCGGGAGCTCCATCAGCAGATGCAGCTTGAAGGCAAAAAGCTTTTTCTCCTGTCTCTGATGGACCTCTCGCACAATCTGATTACCACAGTGCAGAGTTACCCTCGGGCTGCTGTCTAACCCTGACCATGTCGGAAGGCCAGTCCCCAAACTGTCACCCCTGTCACGAGCTGTCACCCCTGTCAGGGTGTAGGGCTGCTGGAGCAGGAGATGCTCTAACCTGCTCTGCCCTGGGCCATCCGGGGAGCCCTGCTCTCAGCCTGGGCCAGGGACACCGGCACTTCCCAGGCTTGCTTGGAGGCTGGAGGAGGTTCAGCCCCAGAGCTGAGACGGGAGCTCCTGGAGTCGCTGGTGGAGAGGTGGAGATGGAGATGCAGGATGAGAAAAGCAATTTGTTTTGTGTAACCCTGCTGTCCCTGCCTGGCTGTGGGCTGTCAGGGGTGAGGGTGTGAGAGAGGGAACGTCACCGAGCTGCCTGCCCAAACCCCGGTGGGAACTCGCTGTCTTGGTACAGGATGGCTGGGTCACCTCTGCAAGCAGATAAAGGTGTAAGCCCTAGAGCTGTTCCCCCAGCCTAGGCTTTTGTACCCCCAAGACATAATTTGGGATGGGAAATATCTTCAGGGAGCTCTGCAAGATGAGTAGTTCCAGGCGAGGTGCCCTTGCTGTCAGCTTCCAGGAGGGAAGAGCTGAGCACAGAAAGTCCTTGGAGCACAGGGGTGGAGTGGGGTAGTGCTTGTTCATGGGGGGAGTGCGTCAGATGTAGAAATGGGTGGGAAAAACTTTTCCCAGTAGAACACGTCTCACTGACATCTAGACCAGAACCTGAATGTCACCGTCCCTCTGCCAGCGAGGACTCCCCTCCTGGGCCATGGTCATTCTAAGGGCTGGTCTGCTTTGAGGGGCACCACCAGGATGGGCTTTAACCCCCGCTGTCACAGCGAGGTCTGGTCCCCGGAGGAGTAACCACGTTGCACTGCACAGTTCCCTTTTCCTTTTGGTGATAAATGTAGGATTTCCCTTGCAGAGATGCTCAGTTTAAGCCAAGACAACGCCAGAGGTGGGACTGGGCATCTCGTTCGTGGGTACTGGTTCTTCTTCTGCCTTTGCCAAAGCCCTTACCAACGGCTTCATTGGGATTTCATACCCTGTATGAAATGGGTGACCCTGCCCATTGCTTACCACGTGCAGTTAAACCCAGCTCTGAAACAGAGAAAGGTTTATTCACTTTCCTACAGCTTCTTCGGAGGTTCCTTGGTGCTCCTAGGAGCAGCTTTGTCCTCCTGGTGTGGCTGTGAGATGGGACTGCTCGTACCCCGAGTTAGAGGTGAGGAAGGTGGGGGCCACAGGTGCTCTGGTCAAAATTGCCCGGCAGCCTGCAAGAATGGGCTGGAAAGGGGCAGGATTGGTTCAGCGGCCCAAGGTTTCCAAGCCAGCTCCCCGGGCGTGGGATTGCACACCTGACAGGACTTGACCGGTGTCCAGGAGGAGCTCGGTGCCAGGAGCGATATGGGAAACAGAGGCTCCCTTGCCACCTCCACCCTCTGCCCTACCTCTTCTCTCATACCAATGCTGCTTTGAAATGGTGCTGAAGCAAGAAATGGGGAGGCGACGTTCCCCTTACCCCCATGATCCCACTTCATCCTCAGAGCTGGCAGCAGAAATGAGGTGCCCACCTGTGGCTGTGACGTGCTCTCATCAGGCATGTGTTGGCATTGAACTTGTTTTAAAAAAAAAAAAGAAAAAAGAAAAAAGAAAAAGAAAAAAGAAAAAAACCCCAAACCTTGGATTTATAGAGGAAAAATCTGACTTTATTTTTTTAATCTATCATTTTTTTATCTATCTCTTTAAGCGATGTATGACCAGCATCGGGTAGGATGGTTACAAAAATACTAAAAAAAAAAAAAAATTTGTTTCTTTGAGAGCAGCC